AAAAAAAAAAAAAAAAAAGCTAAAGGAGTTTATCACCACCAAAACAGCACTGCAGGAAAAGTTAAAGGAAATGCTGTAATTAGAAGTAGAAACAGAAAGAGAAACATAGGCATAAAGGATTAAAATGGCAATAGATAAGTATCTCTCAATAGTAACCTTAAATGTAAATGGATTAAATGTTCCAATAAAAAGGCATAGGGTGGCTCAATGGGTAAGAAAACATGACCCAAATATACGCTGTCTACAAGAGACCCACCTCAAAAGAAAAGACTCACAAAAAATGAGAGTGAAGGGATGGAAAAATTTTTCCAAGCAAATGGAAGTGAAAAAAAAAGCTGGGTAACAACACTCCTGTTGGGCAAAATAGACTTCAAAATGAAGACCATAACAAGAGACAAGAAAGGTAACTACATAATTCTAAAGGGATCCATCCAACAAGAGGATGTAACCCTGATAAACATATATGCACCCAATATAGGAGCATCTAAACTTACTAAAAAACTTCTAGAGGACTTTAAGGGAGAGATCAACAGCAAGACAGTCATAGTAGGGGACTTTAACACCCCACTGATTTCACTAGATAAGTCTTCCAAACAAAAAAAATCAACAAGCAAAGTGACCCTAAATGACACACTAGATCAGATGGATTTAACTGACATTTACAGAACATTCCACCCCAAAAGCTGCAGAATACATACTCTTCTCAAGTGCATATCAGTCATACTCTTCTCAAGTGCATGTCCCAAAAAAGTGTGGTATATTTACACCATGTAATACTAGGCCGCTGTAAAAAAGAAGGATCACTTATCCTTTGGGACAGTATGGAAGGAACTTGAGGGTATTATGCTTAGCAAAATAAGCCAGTCAGAGAAACACAAATACCATATGATCTCAGTCATATGTGGAATGTAATAAACTGATGAATAAAACAGATCCAGAGACAAAGCAGCATGGAACAGACTGAGGGATCTCAGAGGTAAGGCAGAGGTGGGGGAGTGGGTGGGGAGAGATTAATCAAAGAACTTACATGCTTATATGCATAACCTATGGACACAGACACTGGTATGGGGAAGGACTGGGGGTGGGGTGGATGTGGGGTGGAGGGGATTAACGGGGGGAATAAGGAGACATCTGTAATACTTTCAACAATAAAGATTAAAAAAAAAAAAGAAGTCTAGCCTGGTCCGCATGGCTCAGTGGCTGAGCACTGACCTATGAACCAGGAGGTCAGGGTTTGATCCCCGGTCAGGGCACATGCCTGGGTTTCGGGCTCAATCCCCAGTAGGGGGCGTGTAGGAGGCAGCCAATCAATGATTCTCATCACTGATGTTTCTCTCTCTCTCCCTCTTATTTCCTCTCTCTGAAATCAATAAAAACATGTTTAGAGTGGGCACGGGGTGGAAGTGGTCAATAGGGAAAAACGGGGACATCTGTAATATTTTCAACAATAAAGATAAAACAGTCTATACTAGGTTTAGATCAGGTCAGAGAGCACTTTACAATATTACTGTAACATGAAAGTTCTGGGACATATATATTATTCTTGCTTCTTTTTTATGGTGATGCACTTTAAAATGTGCACTTTTTTCCAATTAATGATTGTGAGTCCCAACTCTCTCTTCTATCCTGAAGCTTCCTCCTCTATCTACTCCAGCCTCGACCTTCCATTTCCTCATGCCCCCTATTTCCTCGCACAAGCTCCCCCAACTTTAGCTTCTTCAAACCAGCACAATCTAATACTGGCCTGTCAAATGTCATGCACTTGTTCTTTGAAATATTTTTGGAAAGAGAATTCAACAAGACAGCATAAAACAGTATCTTATTCCTCTTTGCATCTCTTGGCCACAGCGTGGTTTGTATATTCATTCAATCACTCTTTCCTTCATTCAGACTATCTTTTGTGATTTTTATGATGTGCCAAGTATACTGGGAATATAACAACAATATATTTTCTCTGCCCCACGCCCAAATAGGGGGCAGGTAAGTAATGATCAAGGGTTCCTCGGAAAAATAACTACATGCAGGGGTGGAATAGGAAAAACATGAGATGAGCCTGGAACATCTTGCTATGCAACAAAGTAAAGAAGAAATCAATAAATGATAGGGACATGTCAGAAAAAACACAGAAATCATCTTGAAGGAAACACCACTGGCCACACCTGGTGTAATTTGATTCAAAAAGTAACCCACTGAAAAAAAACAGAACTATGGGTCCATATTGATGTAAATAAATAAATGAATAAAATGAAAGTCTGATGAGGACCAGGGTATTTACACAGTATCTAAGGATCACTCCAATTAATACTGATTTTGAAGAGAAAAAGGGTAACTTTATGGTGTAAAGTCTGGCAGACACTACTTTATTTAAGTGCTCAAAGTTAATGAGTACTTAAAGTACTTCTTTCAGTTTATTACTCAAATGTTGCTTTTGCATTTGGAATAACAATTTGTAATATTTTTCTCCCTATTCCTTTTTCTGTTTTATTTTTTCCAGGCACTTATCTATATTGAAGATAATGTATATTTTGTTCATTGTTAATTTTGTGTATTTTCTGCCTACTTCTCACCCACTGCGACCACTAGACTGTAAGCTCAATGAAAGGAAATATTGTTGTCTTTGCTCTTGTTATTGTTCACAGCTGTATACCTGCACTTAGAATCTGAGTTTTTGGAACTAGAATAGGAATTCAGTAAATTTCTGTGGATTGAATAAATGAATGTCTAAGGTTTATCCCAGGAATGCTAAGATGGCTTAACACAGAGTTTTCTAATGAAATTCACAGATGTAAAGATCAAAGCAAAAAATATGAGCATCATAATACATGCAGAAATCATTACAGAAAATATAATATCTACTCATGATTAAAACCCTCAAATTAGGAAAAGGAAGGAACTGTGCAATCTACCAAACAGATTAGGCAAAAGTCAACTTCATCATACTTAAAGATGAAATGCTACAACGTTTCTCTTAAGATTAGGAACAAGAATAAAATTCAATCATGTAATTTACATTAACTATAAATTATATAGACTGAAAATTCTAATTAAAATGCAGAAATTGTCAGAATGGATTAAAAAAACTCCACCCAGTTTATATATAAAATTTTTATATATAAAGACATGATTGAGAGTAAAAAGACATACCATGCAAACAGCACAGTCAACTGATTTATGAAAAGAGAGTTATTTCAATGGGAGAAAGGACAGTCTTTTTAACTAATAGCAATGAAACAACTGGATATCCTTACAGGGAAAAAAACAAGAATTTAACCCCTGCCTTACTCCAAATACAAAAATAAATTTGACATATTCAGAGACATAAATGTAAAAGCTAAAACTATGTTAACTCCTAAAAAATAAACACAGGGAAAAAAATCTTTACAACCTTGAATTTGGCAAAGATTTTTTAAGACACAAAAAACTCTAGCCATTAGAGAAAAATGCAATAAACTGGACTTCATTATCATTAATTTTCTGTTCATCAAAAGAACACTATTAAGAAAATGAAAAGGTAAGTTACAGACTAAGACAAATATTTACATACTCACAAGGCATAAAAGAAAAAGGTCTTTTTTCCAGGCTATATAAAGAACTCTTCAAATTCAAAAGTAAGATAACCTGATTTTTTAATGCCAAAAAATTATAAGATACCTTACGAAGCAACTTATATGAATAATCAAAGAGCAAATGAAAAGATGCTCAACAGTATTAACCAGGGAAATGCAAACTAAAATGCCAATGAGACACCACTTTATACCACTAGAATGACTATAATCAAAAAGTCTGACAACACTAAACGCAGGTGAGAATATGAAGCAATTGGAACTCTCATTTTTTTCTGGTGAGTGTGTAAAGTGGTACAACCACTTTGAAGAACTGTTTGGCCGTTTCTCATGAAGTAAAGCCCCCATCTACACTATCATCCAGTAATTCCACTCTTAGGTAATTAATTACCCACAAGAAGTGAAAATGTATGCCCACAAAAAGCCTTATATAACAATGTTATGGCAGCTTTATTCACAATAAGCAAGCTCTAGAAACACCCAAAATATCCAGCAACAGAAGACTGGATAAATGAATTGTCACATATGTTCATCCAGTGGAAAACTACTCAGAAAGAAAAAAAGGACAGATTACTTATATATGCAACAGCAGGGATGAAACATGAATCTCAGAAATGTTGTTGAAGGAAAGCAGCCAGGAACAAAAAAAATACACACCGTTCGAATCCATTTACATATAGTTTAAGAAATGGCAAAACCAATCTTTGTTGAATGAAATCACAACAGTGGTTGCTTTTAGAGTAGGGGGAGTTGACTAGTGATAAAGCTCAACAGTCAGAGACCACGGGGGACAAACCACTACTCCAGCTGTTAGGTTTCTTAACTTGCTTCAACAAGGGAGAGTAACCCAGGAGAAACCTGAAGGGCCCGTTTGATGAGAGGAAGTAAGGAGGTTATTGTTTTGTTTTGTTTTGTTTTTTGTATAAGGTTTGGGTTCCTAATAACCCTACAAGGTGAAATGGAATTGGAGATACTTATCTGAACTCATGATTTGACAGGTAGAAGAGAAATAAATATCCCCATTTTACCTTTGGGGGGGGGAATCAGACTACATGATTCTACGTTTGTGAAGTTAGGATTTGAATTCAGTTCTCATGCCAAATCCCAAACTGCCACGCGGACGCCTGGCTGGTTGAAGGAACAGAGAGAAAGCTAAGCACCGCTCCGCCTCCGAGCGGCGCCGTGTAATAAGACATTTAGGAGCCTAACATGGCATTTACCGTATTTGAAACACCGGGCACAGGGGACGGGACCACATCCTACAAAACAAATAAAAGGGAGAAAACTTTTCCTAACAGCTTCTTGTGTCTGTAGCGAAAAACAAGTGAAACGGTTGCCGACTTCTCAGCGGAACTCGGAATATGAATAAAAGAATGAGCTCCGGCAAGTCAGTAACCTCGTCAGTCATCGCTGAACACACGTTTTTAACGCCTGTCCGTCTCTCGGCATAGAACAGTCCGGGGAGGAAAAAACCACCGAGTTTACTTACAAAACTGGAAGCTCTCACTATGGAACTGATCCTATAACGAGGACCCTTTAAGAGGCAAACAAGGCTGGGGGGGAGGGGGGGGCACGGTTTCGTCGGAAACCCCGGGCGCCGCTTCGGTGTTTCCCATCAGTGCTCCTGAAACTCGAACGTGCGCCTGGATCCCGGGGGGCGAGTGAAAATGCTCTGATGCAGCAGGTCTGTTGTTCGGCTGAAGCTGCGTTTCTGAAAAGCTCCCAGGCGAAGCCCAGAGGGGGTATCGGGAGAAGGGGCGCCCTCCTCCGAGTAATCACGAGAGCTCTCCGCGCCGAGAAAGACGAAATTAAAGAACCCGCCCCTCCTAGGGAGGCGGAGACTCGCCGGGCAGCGCAAAGCCAGCGCGGCACGGTGCCCAGGAGCCCGCACCCCTACCCCTGGCCTTACCGCAGGATCAGCAGCGCGCTCTGCAGCCGTCTCCGCAGCTCCAGGAACACGCGCGGCGCCGCCGCCGCCGCCGCCATGGCGGGAGCCCACCCGAGGGTCCAG